AAATATCATGGATTCTAAGAGACTTGAGCATTTGGATAATCCTTTTTATCAAGACACCATTAATATGACCCCCATCTGATTAATAAGACAACTTTCAACTACAAGTTAAATTTCTATTTAATCATCACTCATCAAAATTAGAAAAATATAGGTTATGCTAATTTTATATTAAGATACATTTAATTTTAGGCATTCATTTAAATCTATATTTAATTTTAACTGCCAATATTCACAGCATTGAAAAATTATATCTTAATACCTACACTATTGGTTGAAAATTTTAGATACTCACTTAACTATGCATGTTGAAAATAAAAACATTGCTTTTTCTAACTATTTTGGTGAGTACCAAAATTAATTAGCAATTGTCTTTTTTAGGCCGTTCTAATAGTTGGCTAGTTCTTTAAAATTAAGCAGTTTTATTTATTTTGCTCTCTTCAAGTCTCCGTAGGTTGTATTTGCCCATTTAGATTCTCAAAACTCAGTTGCAAAATGAATTAAATCTCTCTCTGAAACACTAATTCTTGAAGGCCTTGCCTTGCTTCTTAAGAATTAAGGACATATCTCTGAGGTTTTAAACACTTTGGCACCTAATTAGAATGGCAATGCTTTGCACAGAAAAATATATTCAATAGCGTAAAAGCAAAAGCTTAATGGAGACCTCCTCTTGCCTTTCCACTGCCCTATCAATCAAGACATTTTCTGATTTACTCACTGCCTAGTGCTATTCAGGTTCTACCTTGTTCTTTATCAGGGTGTTCAGGGCTTTTTCAGGTCAAGCATTCTTCGTTCCAGGGCTGCAACAAGCTTGGTTTCTTCACCAGATCTTAGCAACAGGCTGCTGGGACACCCTGTGCGCCACCAGTGTGCTATGGGTGTTCAGACCTGGGGACATCTTGAGCCATTGGGTGTTCCCTCTGTGTAACTCGGCACATGCAAAAATGGCATGATATGGTATGGAAAAAGGTTGGGAAGCACTGGTTTGATTTGGATTACATTGGAGCCCTGGTTAAAGCTGAATACTTCACCTGAGAAGAAATATTCGGTAAATGATATGCCAACAGGTTTCTACATTGTTGTATTATAGGATTCAAAAATGTATAGTGAGTATTCATTCTTATTTAGGAGGGAAAAATTTACCTTATATTCAGTGTTTGCCAAGGCTAAGGATGGATTATTAAAAAATCTCATTTCCAGAACTTAAGGAGGGCCATTCTTGGTAAATGAACTTCCTAAGAATTTTAGTCAGGAAATCACATCTGCACATATCTCTCTCCTCCATTGTCCATCCAGTAATAACTGTTATTTTGTGGGAACTATTGCAGAAAGCATGGTAAATTCTAAGAGATTCTCTGCTCAACTTATCATGTCATCATTTAAGAAGACAGAGAGAAGGATGTCTAAGGAGGAGAGAGAGAGAGACAGCACTGAGGATTAATGACGTATTATTATTATTATTAATTTTTTTGGAGATGGGTTTTGCTCTTGTTGCCCATGCTGAAGTGCAATGGCGTGATCTCGGCTCACTGCAACCTCCACCTCCTAGGTTCAAGCGATTCTCCTGCCTCAGCAGGACTCCTTGAACTTGAACTCCTGACCTCAGGTGATCTGCCCACCTTGGCCTCCCAAACTGCTGGGATTACAGGCGTGAGCCACTGCACCCAGCCAATGAAGTATTATTTTAAATACAAATAGATATCCTTTAGACAGTTCTGGAAAAGCAGACAGTGTGAATGTATGAAACACAATTAGGATGCAGTCTGAATCCATTTAACATTAAAGCTCACCGAAGAGAGAGACTTCGGTTGAGGATCTGGGGCATGGGTGGAGGGATGCCTATTGGTTCCATGTACAGACTTACCCACTTAGCAGTGATCTTGACTCCCAGTGAGCTCATGTGGAAGTTATTCAGATGATTTATTAGTTCTTAGGTCCCATTGGATCAAACTTGAACCTCTAGAGATATCTGAAAGCTTGATGTTTCCTCCTATGTTTCTCTCAATGTGAGATGAGCTGGACAAATTACATTGAAAATTTTTTTTTAATCCTTCAAACTACCTGTGTTCCTGAGACACTCATACTTCAAAAATACTAATCATATACGTATCCACGAGGGCAATTGTGTGATCTACTACTGGAAATGGTATGATAAGCCATAACACTTAGTTCATTTTTGTTAAGAATCAAATTTTGTGAAATAATAAGATGAGTACTTAAATCCTGAGAAACTTACGAGATCTTGGGAAAAGGTCTGTGACTTTTTGAGTCTAAACCTCAATTTTAAAATGAAGTAAAATTATACCTTCTCTATAATGTCTTTGAGTGTATCTAATGAGTTAATGTATGTGAAGAGTTCAGTAAACTGTCAGGTAGGCAGTAAATGTTTGAAGATACCTGTTTTAATAAGTAGGACAGAATCAGAACCACAAATAAAACCAAGATACTCCAAAAGCACAAGAAAACCAAAACCATTACTACCAGTTTCAACCTCTATCTAGGTGAATCTGGAAAATTTATTAAATCTTTCTGGCGTACATTATGCTGTCTTTAATGAAAATGATTACATATTCCTCAAAATTCATTTCCTCATGTATCTGTCTCTCTCCCACCACCCATGTATATGCACACAGACACATATATGACTCATCATTCTACATTCTGCATCTCATCTCATTATCATGTTTCCTCACTGTTTATTCCTTTTTTTTTTTTTTGGCCACTGAATCTGTGTTTTCTGATTGATTTGTCTCTCTACGTCTTCTAAAAGCATATTTCAATATAAAGGATTACACCTTTATTTTTAAATTTTGTATCACTTTAGAACATTGGAAGACATTGATTTTGTAGTACATTAAGAGCTTCTGGCTAGGCGAGGTGTAATCCTAGCACTTTGGGAGGCAAGGCAGGCAGATCACAGGGTCAGGAGATCGAGACCATCCTGGCTAACACAGTGAAACCTCGTCTCTACTAAAAAACACAAAAAATTAGCCAGGTGTGGTGGCGGGCAACTGTAGTCCCAGCTTCTTGGGAGGCTGAGGCAGGAGAATGGCATGAACCCAGGAGGTGGAGCTTGCAGTGAGCAGAGGTCGCGCTACTGCACTCCAGCCTGGGTGACAGAGCGAGACTCCGTCTGGGGAAAAAAAAGAACTTCTTGCTACCAAAAAGACACATGCACACATATGTTCATGAAGCTCTATACACAATCGCAAAGACGTAGAATCAATCTAAGTGTCCATCAATGGTAGACTGAATAAAGGAAATGTGAGACATATAAAAGATAGATGGAGCTGGAGGCCATTATCCTTGGCAAACTAACACGGGGACAAAAAACCAAATACAACCTGTTTTCACTTATAAGTGGGAGCTAAATGGTGAGAACACAGGGACACATGGAGGGAAACAACAGACCCTGGGACCTTCTTAAAGGTGGAGTGTGGGAGGAGGGAGAGGATCAGAAAAATTATCTATTGGGTACTGGGCTTAGTATCTGGGTGAAAAAATAATTTCTACAACGAATCACTGTGACACAGTTTACCTATAAAACAAGCCTGCACATATACCCATAAACCTAAAAATTAAATGAAAAAAAAAAATGAAAAAAAAAGTATACCTGAAAAAAAGAAGTCCTATTGATTCATTTCATGTTTTTTCTAAATCAATATTGAAAAATGTATTATTTGTTATTAATGGTGAAATTCAGTTTCTTCTCAAATTACAAACTGAGAAACTATTATATATGTATTAGGTATGTGTATGTAAAACACAACCTGTAGCACTAGTCAGAATTCTCAAAAAAGTTGTTTATTGCTTCCAATTTTTCATAATCCTTTGCTCTTTCAAATCCAGCTTTCCACTGATCACTGAGGCCAATTCTTTCCCGGTTAACCACTGTCTCACTGTTGATATATACAATGGAAAATTGTCCATTCTTAGCTGAATTTCTTCTGAAATTTGGAAATGTTGTACAGCGTCTCACTTCTTGTCTTGTGTGACGCCACCATATTTTCTTCGTTTTTCTCTTACCTCACTAATTGCAGATTTGGCATCCTCTGTTCAGCTGTTAGTTTTTCCCATTCCTTATTTTTGTAGACTGTTTTATCATACCCACAACTTCAATTATCAGTGATTCGTACATTTATTTCTCTCTCTCACCACTTCCTGTAGCTTCGGCGCTCTCTATCGAAATACCTAGTATTGAGTTTAAGTTGCATGGCTCAAAAGCAACTAAAATTCTACATTCCCAAGGTCAGTTCCCAATATCTTGACCTCAGATTTGGTCGTTGTCCTGTGTGCTTTATCCCTATTGTCTATCCTACTAGGCAAGGCATATACTAGTATTCATCCTTCACTTCTTTGTCTTCCTTACTTCGCCAATTTTATATCTAATTTTTTACCTCTTAGATGTTCACCTTATTCATGCTTTTCCTTCCCTCTCCATTGCCATCCTCCAATCCCAACTAACTTCATCTTTTCTAAAATGGCTAAAATATCATTTTAATTAGTCTCTAATAAATTTATTGAAACACAAACCCCATTGGATAATCATATTGATTTAAAAAATTTTAATGCCTTCCGAATTTTGTTAGAATAAAGATGAAATTTTATGCAATTGTATTCAGGCTTCTGCATGAGCTAAGACTTTCCTCTCCAGCTCTACCTTGCTCTCCCTCAAATTCACTTTCATTCTAGTCACAGTAGCTTTTCTCATTTCTTCTGATGTTGCAAATTTTTTGCTGCTTTGAGATTCAGAATATTGTTTTCTTTCTCCTTAAATGTTGTCCCTACTCCCACCCCTTTTGCCAATCCTTTGGTATTCAAATTAAGCATCATTTACCAGGGAAACTTTTGCTGAAAAGTGAACTGTTTTGGGTTTCCCCTCCAGTTCTCTCAGCATCATGCATCTCTTCTTGGAAGGAATAATCACAGGTCATAATTATATGCTCCTTTGTGGCCATTTATTTTAAGTCTCTCTCAGTAAATTATAAGATCTGCGAGGTCAGGGACCATGTCCAATTTGCTCACCACTGTATTCCTGCATCCTAGCATAGGTCTTGGACTATAAAAAATGAAAATAAATATTTTAAAATTGGCTTACTCAATTTTAAAAGTAGTTTTTTCTGTACAGTATAATCACAAACACAACTGAAATCAGATGAGACAAAGTGTATTTTAAACCTTGCTTTTAATTTCTTAAGGTAGGTCTTACAACTAATTATTTGCATCATTCTCTATCTGGGCTTCTAAGTCATTTAAACAGATGTGGAAACCAAGACTCCTCGAGCTCTCACAATTCTCTCTCTCAATGTCATCTATGAGTGAAGAATAGGACACCACAGGCTTTCATAGTAATATTCAATCTAATAATAGTATTCACTGTAAATAAGACTATAAACTCATTTATAGTCATTCATATTGTACCAAGCACTATTCTAAGAGGTCCATATATTAGAATATTTAGTCCTGGCAACCCTGTAAGTAGTATTACTATCCCTATTTACAGAGGTGGAAACTGAAGTCCAGGAAGGCCAGGCACTTTGCTCCAGGCCACACAGCAGCGAACTGGGACTTTGACTAACTCCAGAAACATAACTACTAATTTACACTTTTCTTTCTTACTCTTCTCTAAGCATGAAGATACTGATTTGCATGGACTACATCTCTAAGGAATACTTGATGGCTGGATTCAATAGGTTGCAGCCAATTGGAACCTGTAACAGGAGATCAGATGGGACGAGGAGAGAGAGGCCAGGATACATTAGCTCTGCTCTCCCTCTGCTCTTGGACTATGGCTGTCACAGTTCTAAAGGGATGCCTGGCGGTAGAGGCATCCCTGTCTTCACTTCCTTTCAGGCAACCTCTCACTCACACCCTAGCTATCACTGAGCTCTAGATTCCCATTGAGTCCCTTCAGCCACTGAGGTGCTAATAAAATTTCATGGTTAGGTCGTAGGTACTCAGTATCCCATGTTTGTTTACATCTCTTTATTTTAATTACTGGAGGTTGTTTCTTCACAGGAATCTGATCAATAATTCTCTAATTTCCTTGCAATTTATCTAACATTTTTCTTGATAACTAAATGCTTTGGGAATTTTGTTTAGAAATAATATCACCTCTATGTATTGAGGTGCGGGTGGGTGCATTCTAAGACCTTTGAGAAAAATGAAGCACTTAATTCAAGACTTGATAAAAAATGGGCAGAACGGGTTTTCTTGGAAATGAAGTAATACTTTACAAAGTTTCTTGACCTCTACTATCTGCTTAAAGTATTAACTCTTCATATTTTATTGACATAATCAAAAATATGTATTTGAAGTGAAATGCATGGGTGTATTGAAGAATAAAGCATCCTCTGACAGCTGTCAGCTGGGTCTGATTTGACACTAAATAATTCCACAGAACATCAACATGAGAAAAATTTACTGGGTAACTGTGATTAAACAAGACAAAATCAGGATAACTCAGCAATAATGTTGGAAAATAGACTAAATCAGGAAAACTGTCCGAACCAACAATGGCCTAGCATCCTTCTCACCTGGCTAATATGAGGAACTGCTCCTTTGTTTTTTAACCAACTATAGCCTTAGCCCTTTTCCATTTAACATACACAACCATAGAATTGCTGCCGCATTCTTTTTTTTTTTTGTAGATTTTTAAGTTTTTTTATTATTATTATTTAAGTTCTAGGGTACATGTGCATAACGTGCAGGTTTGTTACATATGTATACTTGTGCCATGTTGGTGTGCTGCACCCATCAACTCGTCAGCACCCATCAACTCGTCATTTACATCAGGTATAACTCCCAATGCAATCCCTCCCGCCTCTCCTCTCCCCATGGTAGGCCCCGGTGTGTGATGTTCCCCTTCCCGAGTCCAAGTGATCTCATTGTTCAGTTCCACCTATGAGTGAGAACATGCAGTGTTTGGTTTTCTGTTCTTGGCGATAGTTTGCTAAGAATGATGGTTTCCAGCTGCATCCATGTCCCTACAAAGGACACAAACTTATCCTTTTTTATGGCTACCTAGTATTCCATGGTGTATATGTGCCACATTTTCTTAATCCAGTCTGTCACTGATGGACATTTGGGTTGGTTCCAAGTCTTTGCTATTGTGAATAGTGGTGCAGTAAACATACGTGTGCATGTGTCTTTATAGCAGCATGATTTATAATCCTTTGGGTATATCCCCAGTAATGGGATGGCTGGGTCATATGGTACTTCTAGTTCTAGATCCTTGAGGAATTGCCATACTGTTTTCCATAATGGTTGAACCCAGTTTAAGCTGCCGCATTGTAACAACACTCAACACAGAGAGAAACCATGCTTTCTTGAACACTCCCCTAAATAACCTAATACAGGTCCAAATCCTATTGCAAGCTCCTCCATAAACCCTCTTTTGAGATGCTCCTGTTTTACACGGTATATTGTTTCCCTTTTTGAAACAAGCAAGAGTAACACAACTTTGACTACACGTTTGTTCCTGGTGGCCTTTGCCTGGAGAACACAAATATGCAAAATGTCGTAAAATCTGAGTTTAATTTCAAAACAACATTGGAGGGTTAGCTGATGAGGTGAAGGGTATAGATGGAACACCTATGACTATGAACCAAGACATTAAAATTGGGTAATTGTTATAGGGAGATTTCTATAAAAATTCTTCTATATTTGTTTGAAAATGTACACAAAAAAGTTTTTAAAAGTTTTTTTATATAATAAGTAGTTTATATAACAAAAACATAAAGGATTAAAACGTTTAAAATAGTTGTATTAGTTTGGGGTTTGGAACATTAGTACATCTCTATTAAAAGTATTATGGAGGCTGACAAATCAACACGAAGGAAAAATAAGACAGATTTTTTTAAAGAAAAAATAAAAATATGTTTTACAAGTTATGTGATCAGTAAAATCTAAGGAAATCAAGAAATCAGAATGTTTAAATTTTAATAAAAATGAAACGCTTGTGTATTGCAAATAAAAATTGTAAAAATACAGTGGGAAAAAACACTTAGAGTGGGATCTATTAGGTAAAGTGCCTGTTGAATTAGACATCAAAAGTATTCAAATAAAAAAGGCCCTAAAGAAATAAAATGCTTTGGCTTGAAAATTTAATTAAAATGATAATATTTTATTATTATAAAGGTTTTTTTTTTAATGCCTTTCAAACTGGTCCACTATTTTCTTAAAGAAAAGAATAACAGTCACCATAATAGATAAGACACTGGAAGTAAAGAAAAAGATGACTCAGTCAGAATTCCTGTCTTTAGATGGCTCCTAGTATAATAAGGGAGACATATATGGAGAGAATTATTATACAATATGAAAATATAACAATGACACAAGAAGTCACTGATAATACACTGAGAAATGGTTACTTTTTTTTCTATTGGAGATCAGGTAGAGAGACAAGTCAGTGCATATGGTAAAAGATCTTCCAAGAAGTTAACTTCTGAGCTTGTACTGCAAGGACGAGAAAATGTTGGGCTTTAAAACATATTTCAGTAGCATAGCAAGTGCAAAGACAAGAAATGCAGCCATGGCCAATGAAGGAGAGGAAGTTTTGTGGCAGTCAAGGAGGAAAATGTCAGGGAAAGAAGTTGCAAAGAAAGGACTATGGAGACATAGAGCCTCACAAGTCATACTCCTGAGGGTAGTCTAAGTTCCATAGCAGAGAGAAGCTTATATAAATGCTATATATTAAGTTGGTGCAAACGTAATTGTGGTCTTTGCATTGTTGAAATTTGTTTGATACTGGAATACATTCTTAAATATATGTGATTATGTTATACATCATTTTAATGTGCATTTCTTGCTTTTTTTTTGGCTAATGACTTAATACTTGCTGTTTATTTTATATTTACTTTAAGCTGTGGAAATGATGTTAGACAAAAAACAAATTCGAGTAATTTTCTTACTCAAGTTCAAAATGGGTCATAAAGCAACAGAGACAACTCACAACATCAACAGCACATTTGGCCCAGGAACTGCTAACGAATGTACAGTGCAGTAGTGGTTCAAAAACTTTTGCAAAGGAGACATGAGCCTTGAAGATGAGGAGTATAGTGGCCGGCCATTGGAAGTTGACAATGACCAGTTGAGACCAATCATCGATGCTCGTTCTCTTACAACCTCATGAGAAGTTGCCAAAGAACTCAGTGTCCACCATTCTACGGTCCTTCAGCATTTGAAGCAAATTGCAAGGTGAAAAAGCTCAATAAGTGAGTGCCTCATTAGCTGAGTGAAAAATTAAAAAAAAAAAAATCATCATTTTGAAGTGTCATCTTCCCATTCCACACAACGAACCAATCGGATTGTGACGTGTGATTAAAAGTGGATTTTATATGACAACCAGTGACAACCAGCTCACTGGTTGGACCGAGAAGCTCTACAGCACTTCTCAAAGCCAAACTTGCACACACAAAAAAGTCATGGTCACTGTTTGGTGGTCTGCTGCCAATCTGATCCACTGCAGCTTTCTGAATCCTGGCAAAACTAGAGATTGAGCTGAGAACTATGCGCAGTGAATCAATGAGATGCACCGAAAACTACAACACCTGCAGCCGGCATTGGTCAACAGAAAGCGCCCAACTCTCGTCCATGACAATGCTTGACTGCACATCACATAACCAACGCTTCAAAAGTTGAACGAATTGGGTTATGAAACTTTGCCTCGTTGGCCATATTCACCTGACCTCTCACCAATCGAATACCACTTCAAGAATCTCGACAAGTTTTTGCAGGGAAAACGCTTCCACAACCATCAGGATGCAGAAAATGCTTTCTTTCTCTCCCTCCCTCCCTCCCTCCCTTCCTGCCTTCCTGCCTGCCTTCCTTCCTCTCTCTCTCTCTCTCTCTCTTTTTCTTCTTTCTTTGAAACGGAGTCTCGCTCTGTTGCCCAGGCTGCAGTGCAGTGGCGCGAACTCGGCTCACTGCAAGCTCCAAGCTCCGCCTCCCGGATTCACGCCAGTCTCCTGTCTCAGCCTCCCTAGTAACTGGGACTACAGGCGCCTGCCACAATGCCCGGCTAATTTTTGTATTTTTGGTAGAGACGGGATTTCACCA